ATACTGACTTACTCTGTCTTGCTGGTTGTTTATGAGGTCCAGTTGAATTGGTAATCTTCTTACGCTTCTTCCTAGACCTTGAGAGTGTTTCATTAGGAGAAGCAGTAACTGACTGGTTCCTTGGAGTATTAATAACAGGAGCAGCAGCTGAAGAAGAAGCATTGCGAGTAGCAGGAGATGAAATACTTGTAAACGTAAGCCTATAAATACAATTAAATGAAAAGTAGTTAGAATACAATACAATACACTATACAATAACAATGTTGCAATTTTTTAGAATGTCGGCATAAAATTTTTGTTAAAATGGCCATAACTTCAAAAATTGAAGACGGAATCAGCTCAAACTTTCTACAGAGCACAAGGAAATCAATATGTATTAGAAAATGTAATAATAATTTCTGGTGATTTCGATACCATTATTTCGAAAAAACCATGAGCTATAGCCTTGAGTATTTTTCAGAATCTCGGCCATTTCTTAAAATGGCCGTAACTTGAAAAAACGAGGAAGAAATCAGCTTAAACTTTCTACACAGCATAAGGACATCAATATGTACCAGAAAATGTGATAAAAATTTGGTGTGATTTCAAAGCTTTACATTACATTACTTACATTAAATACATGAGAGTCTTTTAAAGCTACAAGCTCCTACGAGAGAGAAAATGAAAGAAAGGATAGGAGGAGAGAGATGAGAACAATAAAGTATAAATATACTACTAACTGATAATAATCCACCATCACATTCTGTCAACATGTTAAATAGATGAATAAATAAATAAATAAATAAATAAATGAACAGATAATAGGATCATTATGCTAAATGCTCAATGGCACTGGTCACAAATTCATAATTATTCAGTAATTCACAATTTTACTAGAATTCATATACTAGTATACATGTACAGGTACATTCAAACTACCTCATCTGTTATTTTGCTTTCATTAGTAACTCCATCATTTTCATCATTAACTTTCTCTCTTCCCTGTATATGAAAAGTCCATCATGATCTGTCTGTTCCAATGCCGCCATATTGAGGGTTAAAATAACAATAATTGCCCCGCCCAAAACCAGCCCCTCCCTTGTCATTCCTTTCCAAAGTTTGCATCCGGTTAGCTTGTTCTTTGGTCAATGGCAACTAAAACCAGTTCTTGTTCCTCTTCTCTGAGTCTCTTCTCTTCTCCTTTGACTATTGGTAATGTTCATTAACTATCTATGTATCATTGAATATGATTTCAGATCAACTTATTGATGTACTTGACCTACTGGAGAGATGTGGTTTCCCTCAGACAAGATGGAAGGAACTAGGACTGAGACTAGGACTACACAAGAAAACGCTGGACGCCATTAAAAGGGACAATGATACAACAGATGATTATTTAACTGAATGTCTCTCCAAGTGGTTGTCCAGAGCTGATAATGTTGACAGTAAAGGAGGAGCTACCTTTGACTCACTGTCAGATGCTCTTAAATCTATGAATGAGAA